TAGCTACTCAACTCTGCTCAAACATTTTGACAGCTTCAGAAACCGGTTATAGTGTGTTTCCCTCTCAGAGGCTTGCGGCTGCGTTTGGGGTTGTTAGCGAAGGTGGTGCGTTCACTGTTCTCTGTCTCGGGAGCGTTGCGTGGTGATGGGAGCTGCGTTCAGGAAGAGCGTGTCTGGGTTTGATGCTCAGAGATGCTGAAGTGTCAGAGTCACTGGAGGAGAGGGAAAACAGTTTATAGCCTAGAGGAAGAGAAGAGCTCGGAGGTTAGGGCGGAGACACACACACACATGCACTGCTTATACAGGGATGACTAGCGCCATGACGACCGCCGTGGGTGCATCATTCAGCACCATGACAACTACAATTAGATCACTTGTTTAGAACTCGCTTAGAACTCTGATGTAATCTAAACGTATTCATGATCTTGTAACACTGTAGTCCCCATGACACTAGCCAGCTAAAATAGTGTGGTCACTCTGGTTTTGGTCTTTCTTGAGGCCTTGCAGCAGAATACAACTGCTTTCCAATACGTTTCATCCGCAAATGTAAATCAAATCTAATTTTATTTGCCACATGCGCCAAATACAACAGGTGTAGACCTTACAGTGAAATGCTTGCTTACAGCCCTTAACCAACAGTGCAGTTTTAAGATTTTTTTAAAAAAATAGATAAGTAAAAAATTAAAATAACAAATAATTGAAGAGCAGCAGTAAAATAAAATAACAGTAGGGAGGCTATATACAGGGGGTACCGGTACAGAGTCAATGTGCGGGAGCACATGTTAGACGAGGTAATTGAGGTAATATGTACATGTGGGTAGAGTTAAAGTGATTATGCATAGATAATAAACAGAGTAGCAGCAGCGTAAAAGAGGGGGTGGGGTGAGGTGGGGTGGGGGGGACAATGCAAATAGTCCGGGTAGCAATGATTAGCTTGGCTTGGGGGTAGAAGCTGTTAAGAAGCCTTTTGGACCTAGACTTGGCGCTCCGGTACTGCTTGCCGTGTGGTAGCAGAGAGAACAGTCTATGACTAGGGTGGCTGGAGTGACAATTTTTAGGGCCTTCCCCTGACACCGCCTGGTATAGAGGTCCTGGATGGCAGGAAGCTTGGCCCCAGTGATGTACTGGGCCGTACGCACTACCCTCTGTAGTGCCTTGCGGTCGGAGGCTGAGCAGTTGCTATACCAGGCGGTGATGCAGCCAGTCAGGATGCTCTCGATGGTGCAGCTGTATATCTTTTTGAGGATCTGAGGACCCATGCCAAATCTTTTCAGTCTCCTCTAGCTTCATTTATGCAGTCCATATCCACGTTACAACCCAATTCTCGCTGCTCCAGCTCACTTGAGCTGTCACATTCGGCAATGTTGTTATTATTATTATTCATTACAGTATCACGACTATTCTATCCAGGCCCCTCCAGAAAGTTAGTGGAGTGGAGCTTTGCTGCAGTGTTAGGGGGTCTGTGTACCGGTTTCTAGAGGAGGTTCAGGGATGGGGGGTTGAGAAGGGGGTTTCTCCCATGGTGTTCTCCTGTATAGGATGGTGTCCCGGGCTCCCTGGCTCATTTGTAGTGCAGGAGGAACAGGAGAGTAGGAGGAGCAGCAGGAGGCGTGAGGCAGCTTGATCTCCCCCTGAAGAGAGATGAGATGCGGGCCCATTTTTATTGCAGATTGTTTAGCTGGGCTTGTGGCTGCTGCCTTAATGAAACAGTGTTATTGCTGTTCTCCATCTAGACTCATAACCTTCCTTATATTTATTTCCCTCTTTAACGTCACTGACTTGTTCTTTTGCTCTTTTTATTTAGCTTGTTCTCCTCCACTCAGCATTGTCTGTCTCTGTCCTCCCTCCATTCCTCCTGCTATTACTTTGATATCTTTCTCTACCATTCTCCTTATCTTTTCCTTTGTGTGTGTGTGCTTGCGTGTGTGTGTTAAATCGGGTTCCTAGGGAGTGCAAGGAGAGCTAGGAGTGGTCCTTATGAAGGCATAAATAGGAAGATTCAGAGCTGGCCCCTGGGAGAGTAAATCTCAGTTAGTTCACGTCACCCATCACAACACACCTCACAGTACAGTACGGTAGCACCGCAACGCTATGTTACGCTAGCATCAGGCAGGAGACGTTGTGTGTAAATCATAGAAATATGGGCCATCCTACCATCTAGTGGAGCACACTATCATACACAATCACTGCAGCTACGCGAAAGATCATTGGAGCTGTCATTGAATATGATCAGCTTAACCCCCCCTGTTCTCTCTCTCTCTCCTTTCTCTGGTTTCTTGTCTCTAAACCCCATGTAAATTAGGGTGTTTCTTTCTGCAGCCATCTCTGTCTCCCTCTAGCTACCAAACTTTGACTTTGGTTTGCCTTGACAAAGTTGTCGCGAACCCTACCCCACTTTTTCAAACAAATGATTGGGTCGGATCCCAGCGTTTCTGCAATCACCCTCCATGAATTGGCATTTACATGCTGGTCTTTATATAATGCATGGCTAGAATCGTAGTGGTGAAGGTACTTCTGTACCTCCTCGGTCAATCGATGCTTGAAGTTGTTGTTCGCCATGTTGAATCCACAACAGTTTCGGGCTTCTTCTTCTGTAAAGTTTTCTGCCAGACTACACCTATCAGTGTGTCGCCGCCACCTATGAGTTTTGGGCTGAATCGTCAAGAAGAAGAAACTCCCGTCACCCCTACAGTTGACCAATCACGGACGAAGAGGCGTATACTTCGGCTCTCGAACTTCGGCTGGCCTTCAGAAAACATGTTGTGTGCCCGAACAGCCGTCAAAACCCTAGCCGAACACCAAAACGAACAAAAACTTCACAAAATGTAATCATAATATATGCACCAACTGTTCCGAACCGTTTTGGTTGGGAAGCATGCGTCCCCTTTATACACCCCGCCTATTTCTACAATTTCTCTTCTTAACATTTGATTTTAAACTGAACTGTAATCTTAACCACACTACTAACCTTATGCCTAACCCTAACCTTAAATTAAGACCAAAAAGCACATTTTTGTTTTCATTAATGTTTTGGATAAAGACTGTGGCTGTGGTAACTAGTGGAAACCGTTGTGCCTGTTGTTCACACGCGTATCTGCCCTCTCATTGGCTAGAATTGTCCGACCTGATATTGCCTCCTTCCGACATTTTTGAAGACGTTTCTTTTCATTGTTAGATCGGCCACTAGAGTATATGGTCAATATAATGGATAATCTGTGATAATCTCAATTGCATACTCCTTGCATCGTCTCTCCTGCCTCCTTCTCAAAACCCATTGGAGGAGAAGGTTAGAGGGGAGGGAGTGACCTCTGGCTTTCTCATCCAATGAGTTTGAGAAGGAGTGAGGAGAGAGGACACGAGGAGTATGCCATTGGGAGAATCTCAATTGCATACCCCTTGCGTCCTCTCCTCGCCTCCTTCTCAAAACCCATTGGATGAGCAAGCCAGAGGTTCCTCCCCTCTGACCTCTTCCAATGGGTTTTGAGGAAGAGAGGAGAGAGGACGCGAGAAGTATGCAATTGAGATGATCCCATTGAGATTCTTCCATTTGCCGTGTTCACGTGCTAGTCGGAACTAGTTAACTTGTCCGACTTGCTAATAGGTTGTAGTTATACACGTCCCGGGTTCAACCAGTTAGCAAGTTGGGACATTTCCGAGTTTCTGAGTTCCGACTAGCACGTGAACTTGGCAATTGACTGTCATTGTTAGGTCGGAGACAAGAGGAGAGTCTTGCATACTCCTCGCGTCGTCTCACCACCTCCTCAAAACCCATCAGAGGAGAAGGTCAGAGGGGAGGGACCTCTGGCTTTCTCATCCAATTGATTTTGAGAAGGAGGCGAGGAGAGAGGTTCAAGGAGTATGCAATTGAGATTCTCCCAAGACCATCTTGTCATTCATAAAGTATCTCTGGTGTAGTCACAATTATGGATGGCACTGGTCTGAAAGCTGAGGTAGAATTCTGTGTTTTTGAAGGAAAACTTGGCTGGACTACTGGCATCGGGTTGATCTACGCACACGTTTTTCTGTGTGTGGCCACTGCTCATGCTCTTAAAATGTTGGCACCCGGAGAAGACACGTTTCCGAGGTCAGCAGGACGATTATGAGATGGAGTTCTGTTGGGATGCTACCGGGCCGCAAGCAAAGTCAGGAGAAGAGGAATGAGGTGGAAGGTGTGGTGAAGAGCTCGGAACCCAAGCCATGCTAGGATATATCAGTTATCCTTTAAGAGCTTTCGTGCCGAATCCACTGCACTGTTTCAGGTGCAATGTATATGGTCAAGTCACAGAAGTTTGTAGGAGGGAGATTCTAAGATGTGGGAAATGTGAAGGAGGGCATGGGATAGAGGATTGTGTAGTTTCAGTGGATAAAGTTGTGTGTGTTAACTGTAGGGGTGCCCATGTTGCTGGGGATCGGAAGTGTCCGGTGCGAGAGAGACAGGTTGAGGTGGCTAGAGTAGTGCAGAAGCTGTTGTATGCTAAAGCAGTGAAGAAAGTAGAGGAGGAAAGGTCAAGGGTGAGAGGATCCCTGTGAGTAGTAGATCTGTGCCAGCACATAGGGATAGGCCAACGAGTGATATATGCTTCAGTAAGGTTGGCTGGCTTCTTAGCAATGGTTATCAACTGTACCGCAGAAATGGAACTTAAATCACAGAAAATAGATGTAGTGGCAGCTGCAGAGAAGTATTTGGGTATACAAGATTTTACTTCAGAAGAGTTACAGGGTGTGTTGAGTGGTGGTGTCCTGTCCTCCCAGGCTGTTGGCATGGTGCAGGAGCAGAAATGGTCAAAGTAGTGGAATGGGGTAGTGGGTTTTTAATGAGTGTAAGGTTAGTTGGTAGGGTCATTAAAAAATATATTTGTATTTCATTTTTTCCCGTTTCCCCTTTTGTATCACAAAGCTTAATGGATTTATACTATAGTTCAGTTGGGGGCGGTAATGCAACATATTGGATGCCAACCGCCGTTAAACTCCACCGAAGAAGAAGAAGAAGAAGAAGAAGAATTACGCATGTACCCGCTGCTGCCGACAGAAAACATGGCGCTCGAGGTACCGAATGGAGATTTTCCATATTTACCTTCAGGGGCGGCGGAAGGTAAACTCGCGTTTTCCTATGCTCAATATAATTCACAGCCACTTTGGTCTATTATGCATTATTTATTATTGCTGTGAGCAGAGCATAAACAGTCAACGCTAGCTTTCAAACAATACAATTATGCTCGCTAACGTTAGCTATTTAGCTATTTGAGCTTCAAGCTCCAAGGTCGATACAAGGCATTAGTGAAGGAGTAACGTTAGTTAGCAGATGGCTTGCAATTTTCAAAGCCACCTTCTCCTTCTGAAGACAGCCTTGAACTGTGTGTACTTTTAGTATTCTTTGTCTTAAGTAAATTGGCTAAATCAGTAGCTAGCTAGTAGCCGAGTTGTTCTAGTGCAGCTAGCTGACACGAGATCCACATTGCACGTTGGGGGCGATGAAACAACGGAAGTCCATTCATTTTCAATGAAGTGGGCGGGAGGGCCTTTGGGCGATGTGAGCATGGGCGAGGGACGTGAACAGGGCGGGACCAAAGTTGGGGAAAGCTGAACTTTATGCAAAGACTGCTACATCGCGTTTTTATTGACCAATTGAAGCTCACTATAGTTTCCAGCCCCTACTGGATTGGCTGTTGATACCTACCACTACCTAGCCTGCTTGCTAGCGCCAACATCAGGGGGAAGCAAGCCTAACTATCCGAATTTACGAGTTAAAAGGATGGCCACAAGTGTTAAAAGCAAAGTGTACTAGCTAGCTACAACAACTATGCATAAAGCAATACTGTAACGTAGCTGTGAGCTCTTCATCACAGGCCAAAGAGCATCATAGATAGTGATATACCATGGAGAGATCTATAGGAGTCTTTGGTGATTCTGTGTTTTCTGTTTGTAATGAATCCATTCTTTTTCAGTAAACAGGATGATAAAGGAGAATGGTGACCTGTTTTCTGATGCCCTGTGCAAAGTCTGCAGTGCTGTCCTGAATTCTGACTCTCAGAAACTTTCACATTATCAGGTCAGTGATCCCACTTGATATTGACATTTATATGGCCATTTTCTCGACCAGTATATAGAGCAGCAGCTGATGGTTTCATTCTGTTGTCTCATTCTTTTCAGAGCAAAAAGCATGCCAACAAAGTGAGACGCTACATGAGCATCCACAAAGAAGAGGAGCCCACCATCAAAAGGTTGAAGTCGCAATCAGGAGACAGCGTAAGTTACTTCTCAGCTAGAAAAGGTTTTATCCAGCCCTGCTCATCCCAGTAGAGACAGCCAGACAGCGTTCATGGAATGAGCTCCCTTAACCTTTTTGTCCTCTTCACGGTTGCTGTACTCTTCCCCCATATCCAGGCCAACAGTAATGAAGAGACGGAACGCTCCAAAGCCTGTCATATATGTAATATGACATTTTCCTCTCCGGTGGTTGCGGAGTCCCACTACCAGGGCAAGGTGCACACCAAGAACCTGAGACTGAAGACTTTTGGCCACCAGCCCGCAGGTAAGAGGCTGTCTACACGTATTGTATGGCCATGTATGAGATAAGCCTGTTTTCGATTTTCCACCCCATCTGCACACACTTTCTTTTTCTCCCACTGTGTTATTCCTCCATCTCACATACCTGTATTTTCCAAATGTGCAAAAAAATTACTTAAACTCCTTCCTGTCTGATTAATGTGTCACATCCTGCCTTCTACCTCTCCAGTAGCACTACCTCAGGCCTTGGCCCCAGTAGTGAAGAAGAAGAAGGCTCAGTCAGAAGAGGCGAGCAGCGTGGCATCGTCAGGCCCGGCCGAGGACGACCAGGACCACTTCTGTTCCATCTGCCACGCCTCGTTCAACAACCCCCTCATGGCCAAGCAGCACTACGAAGGCAAGAAGCATAAAAAACAGTTGACCCAGCAGAAGCTGATGGAGACCTACGGGCCGTCCACGGCACCAGGTAGGACCTAGCTTCTGAAGCTTCTCACGTTCTGTTCAAAAGCCTGGGGAAGTTCTCCTCAGGAAGACGATCAAAAGGGGTGGAGTCTAGATGGAAATATTTGTATGGATTTCGCATGGGTATAGAGCTCCAAATAGAGGTGGTATTTTATCATTCTTTTCTGACTTGCAACAAGCTAGCTAGCATAAGATGCTACTAAAACTTTGTCCGACACAGTAGGAAAATAGGCACACGTAAGACGAGAAACAATGAAATTCCCTAGGGCAGGGTTTCCCAAACTCGGTGCACATTTAGGTTTTTGCTCTAGCACTACACAGCTGATTCAAAGAATCAACTAATCCTCATGCTTTGATCATTTGAATCAGCTGTGTAGTGTTAGGGCAAAAACCAAAACGTGCACCCCTTGGGGTCCCGAGGACTGATTTTTGGGGAACGCTGCCCTACGGGAAACCTAATTTATCAGAGCCAACCAAATGTGAGCGTTAACAGCCAGCACTCCCATTGAAAAGCAAAAATAAATCCAATACTGAAGTTCTCCAGACTTCCAATAGACGAGACAAGATTTGGAAGGAGGCCCTGCAAAACTCAGTAAGACCAGACGGCCACGGACACCCAACATGTAAAAAGAAAAGCACTTGGTTTAGAACTTTGTGAATATGGGCATATGATTATGTACATTTTAAGTTTCTATCAAGTGTAAATAAGTGTATCTGGAGTGTCATACAGTAGCAGCCAGACAGTACAGGACATTGTGTACCTATGCCGTATTGGGTCATTGCATGTTAGTGTAATGTCTAAAACAGTGTACCTTGCTAACTAGTCCCTCCCAATTTGTAAGTCGCTCTGGGTAAGAGCGTCTGCTAAATGACTTAAATGTGTCTCCAGCTTCCACAGTAAAGGGCTATCCATGCACTGTGTGCAACATCGAACTCAACTCTGTGGAACAGTATCAAGCTCACATCAGCGGCTCCAAACATAAGAACCAGTATGTGTCCCTCTCGCTCATTCTCACTCTCCCATGCCCCGTGAGCCAGAAGAAACAACAACCACTGCATGCACACACACCAACTGGAGTAAACCACACCATATGCCCAGATAACTTCTGTTTGGTGTCAAAATAGAAGTTATCGTATTCTGAAAATACCTGTTACTGCCGATTTTGTTTTGTTTTTATATTTCAGTCTTTAACATGGCTTTGTTGTAATACATTTTAATATATTTCCAGTGTCAGAGGGAAGAAAGGGAGCAACCCAACATTCGTCAGCCCCTCTGAAAACCAGTACACAGCAGAAAACCAGCAGTCTGAGTACCAGTATACGCCTGAAGCCGAACCAGTCCAGGAGGACTGGGGCGCTTTCAACCAGGACTACGAGTGAAGAGACTCCCAGTACTCCCCACCACTCCATCTACCACAGCTCACCAGCTACTGGTGTCCCTCAGTTAGGGCCAGGAGGATTTCCTGACCACATCACCTGACCAGGAAAAACTATTTGTTACAGGCTACAACTAGGATCCAGAGTTTTCCCTGTTCATGTCACATGGTCATGTAAAATCCCATCTCTCTGTGGTGTCGTATCTGCCTCATTGATGAATCCTATCTATCTACTCCAGTTCTACTTCATTCTATCTGTACTCAGATATGGTCAGTCTATCTACTCCATGTCTACATCCCAGTACATGTGTTGGTTGTGTTCTCAGTCGGTCAGACCAGAGAGGTATAGACTCCTGGACATGTTGTCTATCATTTCTGTTCAAAATATCATAAATATTTCAAATTCCGACATAATATAGTACAATGATATGACGCTGGTGTGATGGACTTGCGTTAGTGTTCTGGTTTTATGGGAAATATTTTATTTTCCCCACTGTTTTTATTTGGGCTCATAATCCTTGTTTCCCCCTCCCCCCCAGAGTTTTGTCCAACACTCAATCTTTTGATCCCACTCTTTTTACATAATGTTTCTCTGCGACTGGCTGAGAGGAAAAACTCAATAACATATCCTGTACGGAAAGTTATTTTTCTTTAACTTTAACTCGTTCTAGTTATTTCTTTCAGTTTGCAGTTAGCAACATGGATAGTGACTATAATATACATGTAATTTTTTGCACCCACCAACCTCAGTGTTTGTTAGAACCTTCTAGTTTGATGTCTATTGTAAGTAAAAGACTGCCAGATGATAAGTACGTCCTATAATCGTTTTATTATATGTACATGCGTTCGTATCAATTAAAAAACATCTGTTACAAACTAACAATACATTACAGCAGATAATTAATGTCATACTCTATCTTTGCTCTGTATTAGGAATGTGCTGTCGGTACCCGGGCTTAAAAAGCAATGTCATTTTGTTGTTTTTATTCCTGTTTATTTGTGTGTTTAGTCACATGAAAAATTATATGAAGCAACTTACGATGTGAAATATGCCTTTACTGGACATCTGCTGTGGTATGGCATAGTTTTCATAATGTTTTACTCCATAGTTGTCTATCTGTGCTTGTAGGGTCATGAAAGATTGTCTGAATATTGGTCAACATTCTGTCTGAGGGAGTGGCTCTTGAAATTGAATTTGTCTGGTGAATGTAAAGATCGTCTGAGAGTGTTTCAGTGGAGATGGTGAAACTAAAATAAGGTATTTTAAAAGCTCAGTGTTTGGTGTAGTAAGTGCTAATACTTTTGTTTTTTACTGCATTTATGAATGGACAAATATCTACTTGGACATGGGTTAGTATCAGATTAGTGAGGGATTGAATGTGCAGAATCATCGTAGCAGTCCCGGTTGCATTGGATACTGACAGACAGTAAAGGATCCTAGATTGTACTTGATTATTTACTGTTTCAAATTAAATACTATGTTGCTCTATAAAAGCATAAATAGATTTTGATTGATCTTAAGAACCCATTCCCATTATTTCATTTTGTGACAAGTTATTTTGGCTATGTGCAAATTTGTCATGTCCTAAAATAGTTTTTTTCATCAGACATGACAAGTTGGATATTCTATTACTGAATGTGTCGCCCTGCCTTTTGGCTGAAGAAACATTGCATTCATTTTAGATGTAATTCATAAGAAGAGGGCTTCTAAATACATTGTAAAACAAGCAAAAATATGGCCTTTTATTTCAGACCTCATTCTTGTTGTATTAGCTATTGTGTTGTAAATTATCAGATTTATTTTCAATACAAACTATGTATGCCTAAAGAAGTGGTAGGAAAATGTGTATCTAGTAAAACAATGTTTTAACAAAAGTCCAAATTTCCTGTATTTTTATTCATTTTACTAAATGTATTCCTCACACCCAAACATGTCTGCTCTTCAAGCCCATTACTGTACATTGTCACTGGATGGCGCACTTACTCCTTTCTAGCCTGAGCCATAGATACACTGATACGCTCAAATCAAAGTTTATTGGTTGTATACACACATTTTCAGAGGTTATCCCAGGTGAAGCGAAATGCTTGTGTTTCTAGCTCTAAAAGTACAGTAATACCTAGCAATAATAATAAATAAACCGTGTTGAGGATCAGTGTGGCGGAGGTGTTGTTGCCTACCTTCTCCACCTGGGGTCGGCCCATCAGGAACTCCAGGACCCAGTTGCACAGGGAGGGGTTCAGACCCAGGGCCCTTAGCTTAGTGATGAGCTTGGAGGGCACTATGGTGTTTGAAGGCTGAGCTGTAGTCGATGAACAGCATTCTTACATAGGTATTTATCTTGTCCAGGTGGGATAGGGCAGTGTGCAGTGCAATGGCAATTGCGTCGTCTGTGGATCTGTTAGGGTGATATGCGAATTGTAGTGGATCTAGGGTGTCTGGTAAGGTGGAGGTGATATGGTCCTTAACTAGCCTCTCAAAGCACTTCATGATGATAGAAGTGAGTGCTACGGGCCTATAGTCATTTAGGTCCGTTACCTTCGCTTACTTGGATACAGGAACAATGGTGGACCGAGGCTTGCTCGGTCTCGAAAGCCTCTTGCCAGGGTTGTACACCATACAGACAAGCAAACATCCATCGAACACAGACTCAAATTATTTCTCAAGAACAGTTAAGCTTTTCATCATGTTCTGTATTGTTATCACTATTTATTTGTAATCACACACTATCATTATACACATCTGTTTGCTCGTTTTATGTGGTTCTCAACTAAGATTTAACCACAAACGTCTGTATTTGGATGATGTTTTTCCATTTTTAGCTCACACATTTAAATTGAGAACATCTGTATTTTCTTATGATTAAATGATTGAATATTGAGGTGTGTGTGTAGAGCTTATTCTAAAATGGGTCATTTTATTTGAGTGAAGTACACATTGATCAAACGGGGAGGAAAGTTTTTAGCTGACACACAAAGGCTGCTTTTGACAAATGTTTCTCTCCCTGCGTCTATTCAGGACATTGCTCCTGCACCATAGAGGTCAATGAGCTTGATTTGGCATAGGTACAAGTTCCATTCATAAAGTGTGTGTGTGTGTGTGTGCGCAGGAGGTAGAGGGTTCAGTCTTTTCATTGATAACATCTATTTACTCGAATGGGGAGGTGTCTGGGGCCTCCATTGATAGAGCCGGGCCCTACTAGGCATCCGTTGGAGGCGCCAAGGTTTATAAACACTGCAGCCACACGTAGGCCAGCTCACGTCTGGAGCAGGTCCAGCACACAGCCCCCTGTTGTGGCGCAGAAGATAGGATAGCAATGCTGTATCGTGAAAACTTTTTCCATAAACATTCACAGGCTGCCTAGTGTGTTTACCCTCATGCTGTCATTGTGTGTAACTGTGCAGGTTGCCTGATGTTGTCAGGAGGGGAAATGGCCATAACACAACCAGACAGGAGGATTCATCTTTGTCAGGATGAATGGGCTGCTCTTTGTTTGGAACGAGAGATTGAAGCCAGCACTAACATGATAGCAACCCAAAATATACAGTTGAAATGAAGAATAATCCAAATAAACCATGTTACCTTGTCATATACTTTGGAGATACTGAATTGTGAAGTTTGGAGGTTGCCAAAAGGTATTTTTCAGTGTAGTAGTCTGAGCGACTGAGCCTCTATCCTTATATCGTTCTGGGCCCATATTCATTTTCATAAGAGTAGGACTGCTGATCTTGGTGTTGTGTTGAAAGAACAAGACTTTGTTCTTTATAAACGTTTCGGATTTATTAGCGACAACTAACATCTTCACGTTTGTGAGCTAACATAACAACACTGTTTAGCCAAAGTATGGTGGCCCTTCAGGATAACAATACAGTGAGTCAAAAACACAACAAACTCACAGGGTAGGCTATATAGTGGACATAACACCCCCCCCCCCCCCCATCCTCCCAAAGTCTGTGCATGAAAGACAGTATCCTGAAAACACCCAGAAGCAGCCAGAGCTGGCAGTAGCTCAGGAGGCTGAGCAAGTGGCATGGCAACAGGAATGTCCTGCCTGACCACAGAAGCAGTGGCCACGTTCGGTGTGTTCACAGGAGCAGGAATCCTGCGTAGACAGCTGGCGTGCCAACGCGATCCATCTGCCAGCTGAAATGTCACTGGGCCCAGTTGATGACTGAACTGACTTGGAGAGGAGGTGGCAGTGCCCTTGGTGGACGGAGTCTGGTAAAGGGCAGCACAAGCTCACGTCCCAACATGAGTAAGGCGGGGGAGACTCCTGTAGTGTAGTGACAAGCTGCACAGTAGAGGAGAAGGGTCTGGGATAGTGCAGTCACCAGAGAGCAACCTTTTGAGAGACTGATTCACCTGCGGGTGATAGAAAGCTGGACGGATGTGGGTGACACCTTTAGCTGCGAGGTAAGAGGTGAAGTGGTTCAACAGGAACTGGGGTCCATTGTCTGTAGTAATGGCCCGGGGCAGGCCCAAGCGAGCAATGAGCTGGTCCAGGAAGTTGTCTATGGCCTCCGCTGTGACTATGCTTATTGGGGTAGCTTCGGGCCATTTAGAGTGAAGATCATACAGCACAACAAGGAACCTTTGATGGTGTGTGACGTTGTGTAGCTCCCCACAGACATCGAGCTGTAGGTGCTCCAGATGGCCAGTCCAGGGGCTGTAGACAGGGACGGGCAGGTGGGCCAGTCTTCCCACTGATGAGGCATGGTGTGCAGGCTCTTCAAGGTCACGATATATGCCAGACCACCACACCATGTCACTACACCACCGTTTCAGTTTGACGATGCCGAGGTGACCTTTGTGCGCCATCGCCCTCACACGACCCCTGAGGGCCGAAGGGATCACTGCACAGTGCAATGCAGACAATGCCCCAACATGACAGTTAATTTTTCACAAGTGAGAAAGACTCCAGTTCTGGTAGGACATGGGAAGGCCATCCGTTCCTGATGTACTCAATGAGTGTGGCAAATGATGGTTCTGCAGCCGACACGTCTTCGAGTTCCTGCAGGGACACTATGTTCTGTAAAGGAGAGTAGACGAGGTGCATTAACTCCTCTTCACCATCTGTCACCATCTGAGTAGGTGAGCTCTGTGTGGTGATGGGGCGGGACAGGAAGTCTGCTACGACATGGTATTTTCCTGGAGTGAACTGTACTTGTAAATCGAACTGTTGTAGGCGATCTGACCACCTATGGAGACGGAGGGGCCTATGTCCCCTGCCAGTGGTGGACATCAGGACTGTCAGAGCCTGATGCTCAGTTCTGAAGGTGAAGGAGCGACAATAAAGTTAAAGATGCCAACGCTCACAAGCCCAGATGCAAGCGAGAGCCTAGCCTAGTACTTTTGCTCTTTCGGCCTGAGGGCGCGAGAGACGAAAGCCATGGGCTTTTCCACACCATAATGCAGCTGAGACAGGTCGGCCACCACAACCACTGCTGAGGAAGCGTAGGTCACCAGCGTGGGGCAGTTCAAGTGGAAGTGGGCCAGGGTCGGGGACGTGGTGAGGAGGCGTTTCAGCTCCTCGATTGCTCCATCAGAGGCCAGAGTCCAGTCCCAAGGAGCGTCCTGCTTAAGAAGCTGTCGCAGCGGTGACGTGATAGAGTATTCTGGTAGAAACCGCATGTAGTAAGCGGTCATGCCTAGGAACAATGCCAGCTGTAAAGCTGATGTGGGGACGGGCTCTTCGAGGATGGCATCCACATTTGACTGCAGTGGTGAGATGCCAGTGGATGACACCCAGAACCCCACAAAGTTTATGGTTGACGCTGAGAACTCATACTTGTCAGTGTACAGTGTGAGGTGATGGCGGTTGAGGCTGGTGAACACCTGCACTAGGCGCTCATGGTGAGTGGCAGCGTCTGGCCCATGCACCACAATGCCATCCAGGTAGACCAGAACACCAGGGCAGCCGGTGAGGATGGTGGTCATTATCTTTTCTGAAAGCAACTTGGTGCTGAGCTCCGCCCAAAAGCCATGTGCTTGTAGCGATACAGTTCAGTGTGGGTGATTAAGTTAAATTCCTGCTCTCCAGATGAAGAGGAACCTGCATGTAGCCCTGTCGGAGGTCAAGCTAAGAGAAGAAGCGGGAGCCATGGAAGTGTGTTGTCATCTCCTCCGTTGTAAGTAGTGGATATTTGTCGAACAGCGCCCCGACGTCAACCGAACCGGCTGCCTGAAGATCCCCATCATCAAGCTGGAGTGGCACTCGCCCTGGGCCGTCATCCCTGTCTTCATCTCAATGCTGGGCATCATCGCCACCACCTTCGTTATCGTCACCTTCGTCCGCAACAACAAAATGCCCATCGTCAGGGTGTCCGGCCGCGAGATGAGCTACGTGCTTCAGACGGGCAGCACTGATTTGTTGGCTGCTTGCATGTCAACTCAGCTTCTGATACCCCTGATTTCTACTGAACGATCACCAGATTCGATTGGATCCTCTGTCACAAGGCTTTTGAGATCCTCCTCGACGTCTTTGCGAAGGGCCAGGGGGATTCGATGCAGCAGTTGAATTACAGGAGGAACTTTGGGTCCAAGAGAGGTTTGTGTGTGAATGCAGTCAGGCATCCCAATACACCGAACAGCTCTGGATACTGTTGGTGCAAAGGGGAGGACACATAAAGTATCTTGGCCCTACAGTTGTCCGGTAGAGAGAATCCATGACTGACAAAAAGGTCCAGGTCCATGATGTTTGCACCCTGGCGTGTGACGTGAAATGGGAAGGAGTTCAAGGCCTTGGAGCCATAACGTATTGGGAGGCGGAGGAGGCTGACAACGTCTATCTTGCTTTGGCCGTAGCCACAGAGCGTGGTGGACAGAGGCTGCAGCTGTAAGTTCTGGAAGAACTGGTTGTATGTTGCTGCATTTAGCAAAGACACCTTGTCACCGGTGTCAAGGAGAGTGGAGACGCAGCTCTCTTCCAGGTAGAGAGGTCACA